TAGCAGGAGTTTCCAGGAAAGGAAACGATTCATTTTGGCTTCCAGTTTGGAAGTTCATAGTCAAGAATCGGGCAGCCATACTCCCCTAGAATCCACTGGTGAAGGCAGACAATGGCACAGCAGGTGCGGGGACAATCACAAGGCAAGCCCAGAGCAGAGAGAGATCCAATTTGGCTTAGATAGCCTCCCTTCCTTGCAAAACTGACTCCTAAATCTCCAGTGACCTGTCCCATTGGGTCTACCTACTAGTCACCAAATTTATACCCTAATTCATCCACCATTAGTAATAATCCATTAATTGCTAAAGTAAGACTTCGGGGTTCAATGTTGGCCTTTTTGGAGCCCTGTACGACTTATCCCAGAACAGCTGCTTGTTGTCTATTGGTCCATGAGTCTGTTTTCATTCGAGAACCACATTGTTTAGATTAGGGTAACTTTGTGATAAGTTTAGAGATCAGGAAGTATGAGATTTACCGTTTTGTTCTTTTTCACAACCTTCTTAATTTCTTCCATGGTTATTGTTCTCTTAAGTTTTCCACCATCCTAGAATCAATTCTGGAACTGTATATTTTTTAAACTTAGTCCATCAATTTTTGGAGCTCTAAAAAATGATTCATTTGATTTTTAAATCACAGATATTAAATATTCTCTTATACCTACAAGAAAACCACAGAATTTTACATGCCTTATTTTTTGTGCTTCTCATTTTTTAAAAAATCTGAATTTCCCAAATGTGCATCTAAACCATAATTATCATTAAGTAACTAAGGAATTCTTTTTTGGATAAATTTATTAATTCCTTAAACTTTTTTATTATTTGATTGCCCTTTTGTTAGCTTCTTATTCACTTATCTACAGATTTTTTTTTTTTTGCCAAAACATTTTTCTCTTATTAGCCTCAAAACTGAATCCCCTACTGAACACTTTTTTTTAAACTATCCCATCATTGCTTATTATTCCAGATTAAATTAGCGCTTTAACCCAGGGGTTATTAAGATAAAATTTTAAGCAATTTCTACTTCTAGTTATATATTCCCCATTTCTAAGATATATGGTTTATTAATAGAGTTCTGCTTTCCAAGATGTATTTTTGGCCTTCCTCTCTGATTTTATTGCATTCTACTTGGTGAATGTGAGCCCTGCAAGATTTCAGCTTTTTGGGCTTTGTTACACTTGGCCTAAAAACCATGAAGTTGAAGTCTTGAGAGGAGCGTGACCCTGAAGGGTGAAGGAAGGGAGGTGGAGGCTTCTGGTCTGGTTTTGGTTTGTATGCTTTGGAAAACAACATGATGCACCACCTCTTGATAGATCTTCAGAACTTACACTGTATACGCTCACTGACCTATCAGCATTTCCCAGGAAGTTATGAGGAAGCAGCTGCTCAGAGAGAGCTAGGCAAGGGGCTTGTCAAAGTTTCCAAAGAAAACTCCAGGCCATCTATCTCAGTTTGTCTGAAGACAATTATGTTTATGAGTAGATCCTATATGCATTATTTGGGGTATACATACCTATATACAAACACATATATGTGTATTAAAGATTTATTTTATTTTCATTTGAAAGGCAGTCATAGAGAGGAGAGATCTTCCATCCACTGGTTCATTCCCCAAGTAGCCACAACAGCTAGAGTGGAACCAATCCGATGCAAGGATCCAAGAGCTTCTTTCAGATCTTCCACATGAGTGCAGGCCCAAGGACTTGGGCCATCTCCCAATGCTTTCTCAGGTCATTAGCAGGGAGGTGGATCTTAACTGAACTCACTGGGACTTGAACTGGTACCCATATGAATGCTGGTGCTGCAGGTGCAGGCTTAACCTACTTATGTCACAGTGCTGACCCTGGGGCATACTTACAGTAAAACTGGTCACCAGCCTTTCCCCATGGCTTTAAGTTGACCTGTTTAGTTGGGGCAAGTGGGAGAGGAAAGGTTTGGTCCAGGAGGATGAATCCTATTTAGGACATTTGGGGCAAGAAGGCCACGGAGCATGCAATGGGACTCGGTGGGTTTTCATTTTGTTTGGGGGCCATGTTTGGTTCGCAGGGGATGTAGGACCCATGAAGGGTTGCTGAGGCCACAGGGGTGCTGGGTGCCTTCTGTGTCCAGTGAGCTAAGGCAAGGATGGGTAACTGCATCTGGAAAGATGGACACCACATAAATCACAGAACACCTGGAGCTTAAGAGATGCCTGGTTTACAGTGTGGGGGTGAGGTACATAATTCACAGTGGCCAGAGGCCCCTGCTCTGTGGGATACCTCTGCAATGGGGTGCTGACCTGGCCAGCCCAAGGGGCTTCCCACTACTGCTACCACCCTGCCCACCTGCAGGGTTCCTCCTCTGCAGCACCACACTGTCCAGCTCCGGAGCTTTGGATGACTCGGATTACTGACCACAGCTTCACAGTTCAAAAACCTGTGGCCAGGGGTGTGGCACAGTCAGAGGTTCAATGGTAGCAAACCACATGGGAAGCTGGTTCAAGTCTTGGCTCCTCCACTTCCCCATCCAGTTTGTTGGGAATGCATCTGGGAAAGCAGCAATGGCCCAAGTTCTCTGGTCCACCAATGCTCAGGATGAATGCTCCAAGGGCTGACTTCCCAGCATCCAGAGCACCACCTGTACCAAAGATCCTCAATGAGATGTGATGACAGCATGGCAGCTGCCTTGTTCCCAGCGCCCTCAGGCCCACCTCCTGTCTCCTTCTTTGATCCTTCCTTTTCCCGCCTCAAGACCCTGCAGCTTCCTTGGAGTGTTTCTGAGGTCTTGATTCCTTTCTAGCCAAAGCTTTGCAGATAGCAGTGACTGCTGCCAGGAAGCCTGTTTTGAGGAAACATAAACAGGCCCTGATGTTCAGAGCTTTACCCAGCTTGGTTGTGCATTGTTAGTGGTGGTTTCCCTCTACTGGTCACCATTCTGGCTCTAAGCTCTAAGCCAGCTGCTGTGCACAGTGAAGGCATGGTCCTGCGCTTTGTGGGAACTGCCTTTGCTCCACTGCACAGGGACCAGGCGTCCTCCAAATACCGTCTGAGCACATACACCACCTCCTCAAGCAGCACTTTGCAAGTCACGGATGGGCCCATCCACAACCAGTTACCAGGTGACGTTGGCTGTCTCCCGTCACGCAGGTGAAAGCCTATGTTGGGTGGGGGTTTGGGTGAATGCTCTCAGCTTCTGCCTGCCTCCTGTTTGGGGAGGTTCCTCTCCTCCTAACTTGGTATCCTAATTGCTGCTACAGGAATAGCTTAAAGGCCAAAAGACTATTTTCCCTGAGTTCCATGTCATCTTTTCTGCCAAACCGGCAAACCCTCACTGTGGCTTCCTTCAAGTGAATCTTCAACTAGATCCATCCATCAGCGGGACAGGTCCACACAGGTAACTTAATCTCTTGACAGCAATGATGGCTCGTCTGTCCAAAGGATGCTCGTGAGTGGAGGCGTTTCTTGAATGAACAGAGAGAAAAGACAAAGCAAAACAGAAAGATACTATCACCGTGCCAACGACCTCTGCCTCCTCCACTCTGGCAGCTTGCACACATCCACACGCGAGGGCAGTCCCGAGGGGAACCAAGGACAATGTGGGAAAATGCTTTAATCCTTTCAGTTTTCCTAATGATTTCGTGACTTTTTTTTCTGCAACTTTGAGTTTTGCGTATTTGCAAAACTTTAACTCGGCTTTACATCAACTGTTTTGAGGTTGTGTGTAAATAAAATTAAAAAAGAAACCCCTTTTAGCTGTCTTAATGCACAGGAGTGCTCACTTGCCCATGTGCTGGGTGTGTATTCTACTGACTTTAACCCTCACCTTGCACATTCTGGGATCCCAAATGGGTGCCTACTAACGTTCCAGCTGCTTCACTTGTTATCCAGCTACCTGCTGGTGGCCTGTGAAAGCAGTAGAGGAAGGCTCAAAGCCTTGGGACCTTGCACCCACGTGGGAAATGTGGAAGAAGAGACTGGCTTTGGACCAACTCAGCTCCAGCCGTTGCGGTCACCTGGGGCGAAATCAGTGGACGGATCTATCTCCTTCTCTTGGTATATCTGCCTTTCCAATAAAAATAATTTGTTTCAAAGACTTACTTTTATTTGAAAGGCATAGTTTACAGAGAAGGGTAGAGGTCTCCCATCTGGCAGCTTATTTCCCAGATGGTCCCAATGGCCAGAGCTGATCTGAAGCTGAGAGCCAGGAGCCTCTCTTAGGTCTCCCACGTGGGCACACATTCCCATGGACTTGGACCACTCTCCAGTGCTTCCTCAGGACAAAAGCAGAGAGCTGCATCTGACGTGGCACAGCAAGGACATGAACCCATACCCTTGTGCGATGCCAGTGCTGCAACGCAGATTAGCCTGTCTGCACCACCACCTCAAAACTTTTTTTTGGGAATCAACAATTTGTTTGCCTTAATAGCTCAGGGACCAAGATAAATCAAAACGTGAGGATAAATGACAAGCATGACAAGGCTTCCTTGTCCCTCTCGGCTATCTGTACGTTTCCACTATGGGAATCTCTCTAGAAGAAATGGGGAAATGGAGTCAGTATTAGCACTGCTTTAATTTGGATCTAGGAATCTTGAGAGAAGCTCAAGATTCATGTCTGTTTTGGTGTAAAAACTTAAAAGTACCCACACTTCGTAAGGTCTGTTAAACAGTATAAAACTTCAAATCTGTGCCCAAACCTGAATGATATAAGACACACTCTTGTGTTCCCAAGGAAAGGAACACCTATGGGTAGTGAATGGTGCATGGTTAAAAGGAAGCCTCAAGACAAGCCTGAAGATGTGTCACGCTATCTGTATGGGAACAGACTGAAAGGTTTATCTTTAATCTCATGCAAATTTTGGGCACGAATCAAGATAGAGCTAACACAACCAGAGACATCAGTGAGCCAAGAACAGCATTCACGGGATAAAAATGTTCTCAAGTCAGAGTAAACTTGAACGGGACCGTTAATTTGTAATAGAGGTAAAGAGAGGTTATTTCATCTAGAGAAAAACACAAGACCAGGTTTATTTCATACAATGTTATTCACACATTTTTCATTTTCTAATTTATACATAATATACAAAGAAGTGAAGATAACATTTCATATGAGCCAGTAAGAGCCAGGACTTAGACAAACTGGTCCAGAAAGAATCCATATCAAAAGCAGACACTCAGTAAAGCCTAGGTGATTCTGCCCAATTCAGTTTTTATTCTGGAACAGATTTGATCAAAATTTCATGCCGATTTACTGAAACGTGTTGGGGTAGGCACTAAAAATAGCAGACCATATAATTTCTCTAAGAACAGATACTTCCTGGAATAGGCCTAGAAGTCTTGGGAAGACTGAGCTGTCAGCATTGGGCTCCATGGGGACATCAGGCCCCCAAGAGCAGGGCTCAGGTTCCCGGTGCTGACATTCCCCAGGACTTGACATTTCCTAAATGTGCAATAATAACCAACTATGCCAGCAGAGGGTGAGGATGACAACCAGCAATGCAACTGTGCAGATGCAGGAAGTCATCAGCAATCGCCAAGGACAGCTTTGACCCTGAGACCACGAGCTGACACTGGGAACGGAAGTTCAACACGGGGCCATGACACTGTGACGCTGGCAGAGCAAGGCAGGATGGGAAATAACAGCTTGTGGGGGAGGGAAGCCTTGCTACTTTAGCAGGGCAGGCTAATAACCAGAGCGATTATGTCACACATCTAACAGTCGAATTTAACGGCCTCACCAAGGAATGCTGGGTTAGAAAAGTAGAGTAACTCAACAATAAACATGAAAAAGTATGCCTGGCACCCCAAACTTTATGGTATTTTTAGGTTCATAGTAAGACCGGCTAAGTGTTAAAATCTTTATCTTCAACACTTTGCTCAGAAGACATACGGTCTTCTGCAGACTTCTAGTAAAAACTTCCTTCCATGTTCAACTGACAGAGGTTGCATGTTCATTTCAGTTTCCAGCTCTAAACATAAGGTCAACATAAATGTTTATACAAAATACTGACTTCAACAAAATACAAAGCACTTTCTTTATCTTTCAGAAACTGAATATACAAAGCAAGTTTTTTTCCAAAATATTTTCATAGGCAAAGGATTAAAAACGATTTTAATTATACACATATGGTCACAATTTTGCCTTAAAAAGATTGTTGGGAAATGTACATAAGGCCGCTTGTAAATGTACATCATGTTACCGTTATAATGTCTTATGTCCAGAGAAAAAAACGTTATCATACAGATTTGCTCTTACTTGGGAGTAGGCTATTCAAAAATACAGTACTCTTCTGTACAAAGAAAAAAGTCACATCACATTTAATAAGATGGAAAAAGCATTGGCCTCCATGGTAACCAAGCATCTCAGTCCAATACTTTCTACTATGCACAATACCCTGACGTCAGTTGAAAATGATCCAAATCCTAGCAGGTCCATATTAACAGAGTCAACAACTGTTATAAAACAAAATGTCTCTCACAATAAAAACAAAGCTGGTTCATACTTCTGAAACCATATAAAGATAAAAAATTTTTAAAAAATCACTCTTGATTTGGAGAAATAAATTTACATTATACAGCACTACATTGCCAGGTCAAAGAGGGCAGGGACATAAATGTACACTAAGATGCAAATGTTTTCCAAAGAGATAAAACAAATTCCATTTACAGGATGAAGGTTTACAAATGTACACCTGTACAACCAAGGGAAGTGTCACTACTAAATTAGCAAGGCTTTTTATAATAAACATTGAAACAAGATTTGCTTTCAAAGTGTAAACTTACATCTATTGCTACACACACAATGCATATATTTATAGGAAGCAAAAAAAGCTATCTGAATATGTAATCATGCTTAAATGCCGAGCTATCAAAATTACTTTTCAATGGCCCCTTTCCACCTCTATCTGATTCCTACTTTCTGCATCTACTATGAAAAAGCAAAAAAATGCTCAACACATCTCTGTAATTCTATAAGCAAAACAAAACACAAATTTCCACTCTTTCATTTGCAAACCAAACTGAAAAGTTAATGAGACTTAACTTTTCATTTAGTGCACATTTCAAATGGATGAAAGTGTCATCATGATTTTTCTTTCTAAGTCTTACAACAATTACATATTTAAGTATATACAATACTTTTGTACATTGCCAGACACACTTTAGGGCAGTATTTGTATTAAAACCGCATCCACTGTAAATAATAAATTCATTCATCTCAAATTATTTTATTCTTATTTCACTTTTGAGTTTTAATTTGCATGATAGTTTGTGAATTACCAAAATACAACTTAACTTTCTTTTTAAAACATTAATAATATTTATGCAGTTGATTGTTATGTTATAAAAGGCATCACGCAAAGAAAAGAAAAGAACTATAATCCTATATACATCTCTATAAACCAGTTGTGCTATGGGGTTATAGACCTACCAGACTGCAAGCCAGTTTATTAAAAGAATACTGTACTTTTTCCTTTAAAAACTATTTTTTTGTGACTTTACAAGGTAAAAATTTACAAAATATCTGACAGCTTTTTTTTTTTTTTGATACAGTTACATCATATACAGGCATTCTGTGCTTTGCCAGCAATTCAATCTGATAGGTCTCCACTTAGGGCTGAATGTAATTCATAATTCATCACCCCACCCCCAAATATACACAAGAACCTTAAAAAATTTACAAATGGATGAAAGAAGTCAATAAATAGTTTTGAATTAAAAAAAATTTGAAGATTCATAGCTGAGTTGTGTTTTGATAATTCACAAAAGAAATGTTTCACATGGTTAAGTTATCTTCTTTCTCTTTTCCTTTACAGCATTCCATTTGGTGGCCCTCCAATGGGCCCTAGATCCGGGCTGTTTTTCAAGTAGTACTTCTCCAACTTGGCCAGTATATGTTTCCCATACGTGTATTTGCGCAATGTAGTGATGTGAGGTCGAATCTGAAACATAAATTAAGTGTTTAGTAAACATGTTATTTTAGTTACTGATTTCTTAAAAAGTGTTCCCAAATCTAGATAACTTAGAGAAATAATTGTAATTTAAAATTTCAACATCTATTTTTTTGTATAAGCAGTTATGATCAACTCAGAGTTTCAAAACATATACTGGGTAACTGCCCAAGGAACACACATACTGCTCTTCCTAAACGCTGTCACACGCAAACAGAGGGACTCAAACAGAGCAGGAAAGCATCAATAACAATCTATTACTTTCTTCATAAAAACCTTATCATTTTCTTTCCATCCAGATTGGTAAAGTTTTAAGAAATAATAATTCATTGGCACTGAAGACGTATGATGAAAGAGGCATTCTTCTCATATCACTGGATAGATGTATAAACTTTTCCAAGATTTCAAGTAATTAACTGAACTGGAGCAAGTATGCAAAGAAGGCAATACGAAGAGTAAAGAATGTTCAAATGCGGAACTGGCATTGTGGTGCTGTGGGTTAGGCTGCTGTTCTTCACACTGGCATCCTACATTAGAGTGTCAGCTCGAGTTTCAGCTGTTTCACTTCCCAACAAGATCCTATGGTCATTCGGGGAGTAAACCAGAAGATGGAAGATTTTTGTTCTCTTTGTCTTCCAAATAAATAATTTAAAAAATAATAAAAAAAAAAAACCCTTTGAAATAGTCCAAATGCCACCAAAGAAACTCTGGCTAAAGTAATGCTGGTGTTAACAGACACTTCACAGCAAGCAGCAGTCCTAAGATCTTTCTATATGAGGAGTGGTTCAAAGAAGTTAATGTGGCTTGCTCCATGAAAACATTAGGAAAGATCTGGAGTATTCAAGTATTATCTCTTTCAGTGCTCTTTAAGTTTTTCTTTGTTAAGTGCTGATTTCTTTAAGTATCAAATTCTAGAAGGGATGGCACAGAAAACAGCTTGAAGGGAAAGTATTTGAAGTGACTATCACCTGAAAACACAAACACATCACTTCAAGACAAAAGTCTCTTCAGAAAATGCATTAGTTTTGTGGGAGAATGGCTACATTTTAGCATTGATGTTCTACCCATGTATGTGGCAATTACAGAACTACTAGGTCTACGATAAGAGAAGGAAAAACATGGCTAAACTAACTGGAAAAGAAATGAGAAACAAATATGACTTCAACAGATGAATGTAAAAAAATCATGCCAACATCTGCAGACTTAAATTCTCCTCTACTTAATGAGAGTAACACCTGGGGAAGGCAACAAGCGCCTGAAGCTTCACAGACTGAATTTTCTATTTACATTCAATACACGGTATTACCTTGTGCATGATTATCTTTCTCTGAGCAGGTTCAGCCATATCGATCATCTTCTGAACCACGTAGTTGGCATACTGGTCCTTCATCATGGTGTATAAGGCACTGTGAGGACCATCATTCTGGCAGCAAACCTCATCAATCAGCAAAGCCCTCTCAGCGCGAGAGGCATGAGTGACACACTTTTCAACTACATTGCTAAAATTTAAAAAGTTAAAAGTTATAAATTACACACAGAGAACTGTAGGGATGTTCTACAGAATCTGCTTCAAACATAAAAGCAGTGTGGTGACTCAACATCCCATATGGGCGTCAGTTTTAGTCCCAGCTGCCACCTTTCTGATCCGGCTCTCCTTGCTTGTAGATTGAGAAAGCAGTGGAGAATGGCTCAAATGCTTGGGGGCTATCCGCTTGGGAGACCCAGAGGAAGCTTCTAGCTCCTGGCTTCAGAGTAGCTCAGTTCTGGCTGTTGTAGCCATTTGGGGAGTACAGTGGATGGAAGAGCTCTCTCTCCCTCTTTCTGTAAATCTGACTTCCAAATTAAAATAAATAAATCTTAAAAACAAACAAGCAAACGTAAAAGCTGTCAACACCATCTTAATATTTTCTTGTACTAAGCTACTTTTTAAAAAACAGAAACCCGAATAACAGAAACTCCACATTTTGACACCTATACTTCAATTACAGGCTTTTTAAAAGTAAGCTGAGTAATTGATAAGGTCTGAGGATTCTAAGAGTATGTACTAAATAATGTGCATTTTATCACTGCTCCTGGAGACAATTTTCTAAATACAGATTTCAAAAACATGGGCAGGAGTGGCATGATGCAGCAAGTGAAGCCACCACTTGGGAGCCCCCCATCCACACCTGGACTGATGCCCACTCTGCTTCTGAACCAGCTTCTTGCTGTAGGGCACTGACGTAGACGCTGGCTCAAATACCTCCATCCCTGCCACCCACTGGGAAAACCTAGGAGGAGCTTCTGGATATTGGCTTCAGCCTGGCCCGCTGTGCTTGTTCTGAGCAATTCGGGAGAACACTGTGTTTAGAGGACTTTTCTTTCTCGCTGTTGCCTTGCCTTTGAAAGAAATTAACTGAAAAAACAACTACTAAAGCACTATCCTTAAAAAGCAGTACAAACCAATGCTGGTAGCTTTTAAAAAACAAAAGTGATGTTATCTATGTTCATCTTTAATAAAACCAAAAAAAGACTTACACTTCAGTGCTTTATCCTATATGAGATTTCTGCACGTAAAGAGCTGAGAAATGATACGTGTTATTAGAATGTACTTCAGTACCTGGCAAATTTGTGTTGACTCAAGGCTAAGACCTTCCCCCTGATTTCAGAAACAATTTTGCTCTTGTCTTCAGGTCGGCCATGTTCCAGTACATGCTGAATGACATAATTGCCATATTGGTCCTAAGGACATAGTTAGAAATCAACTTCTGTAAATCATTCTTTTAAGAGTAACTGATGTTTTTTAAGAGTTTAAAAATTCAGTAGTATTGTGAAGTGAATGCAAAACAAGCATTTGTTTCTACAATGTGTTTAAGACTTATTTATTACTACTAATAAATGACATTGTTGAAAGCTATTTCAGACTATGAGATCTGTACCTGTACCAACTGCTCTGTGTGTTGGTGGAGTTCCTCTAAGATAGGCAAGGTCTGCTCTGCAGTGCAATGTTCAAGGATGCGCTGAATGACTCGGCAGCCGTAAGGATGAGTTGACAGCACAAATACCTGAAACAAAGAAGTAAAACTCTCCAACATTTTCTGAAACAGGCAGACTTAGGACGACAAGCTGAATTAGCTTAAAACAGAAGGGTGAAAAGTTCACATTTACTCTGGCTGTCACTGAGTCAGCAGACTAGGTAGCAGGAGAAGGGATCGACAGGAACCAAACCTCAAGATTAGAGCAGTAAAGGGGGTGGATGGATGTAGGCTGAGCTAAGACATTTAGCATTGAAACAAACAGCAATAAAATATGATGCAGCAGGCACTAACTGCTGTTTAAACAAAAAACTTTTTGTATAGCTTTTTCCCGCCTTCCAGGAAATCAGGGAAATACAGTTCAGTTTGTAATTTCAGTAACTCAGATACCTTACCTCTTATATATGATTAAAACTTATTTTTTTACGCCATCCTCCCACCCCAAGAAGCAATCTCCCAATGCTATGGAAAAGGCAGAAATTCACAAACATTCTGTTTTGCCTCATATTTTCGTAAGCAAATGTTGGGTACAGTGACCAAAGAAAAATGTGTTGACACTTAAAATTCTAAAATGCACTTTGCTAACAAATTAGAAGCACCCCCCAAATGTCTTACTTGTCCTTTGAAAGCATCAATAATAAACTGCAGAGACTGCGGCTGAACACACTCGATGCATTTTTGTACAACATGGTTTCCGTTCTGATCCTTCACACACTTGAGCACATGACCATCCAGCTCTTTGACCATTTCACTCTGGAAGAGAAGATCCCGTGCAAACAATTACTACTTCAAACAACAAACTAAAAGAAAAAACTGCTACAGGACCCAAGTATACTCCAAAATATTATTTTCTGTTCTGTAGTTTTTGTTTGTTTGTTTTAACCAGTTGAAAGTTTAAAATTTTCCTCTCTGAAATATAATTGTCAAAAGGAACCAAAGGCGAGAATTATAAAAACATACATGGGTTATGCCAATCATGTGTTGGAATACTAATAACCTAGTGGATGTGTCATTAACTACATTTTCCACCAACCTTTCTCAGGTGGCACATAATGAAACTGAGAATGCTACACTTCTGCCTCACTCAGCACCACCTCTCCTCAAGAAATCACATTAATGCTCTTATAAAGATGGATTAAACCATAAAGTAAAATATGCAAAAGAATCCAAGGAATATACCATTTTTCAATAACTGTTTACCTATGGTTTACTCCCAATACTTTTAAATTTTCAAATATCAAAGAGACATTTAAAATATCCGGCCATCTATATCAGTTTTAAGATGTGAGGCAGAGCCCCAAGTATTTTGGATTGTTGATTTTCTTCTTGTGAAAAACCTCGGATTAGTCCCACACTCAGGGACTTCTCAAAGCACTTCCTCACAAATTTATAGTGCTGTTAATTAATGAATATGCATAGCCATCTATTCATGCATTACTGTTTTTGTTTCTAAAACTATTATACAAATTAAATCCTATTCTTCCCCAAATTACCATTATCCTTTAAGATATATTTATTTCCTTTACTTACTTTGTTTTCACTGTAATATACGAACCACATTTATATGCAGTGTTTTTTAGTTCATAAGAGCTCCTTCAGGTAGTACTGTTTTATAATATTTATGTAAACACCTGGTGAATCAGCATTTATCCTCACCTCTTACTTTCAAATGCTCTCCTTTATTTCAAATGATTTTATAAATTAATTTTTACTAGGAGAAAAGTCACACGAGTACAGGATTGAAATTTTATCAATTCTTTACAAATGTAAAATATTTAGACTTCCCATCAAGGACACACATTTCTTGCTTTATTTTAAGTGATATGTTTTCTTTAAGAATTGTAAATCTTGTTAATAGGCTCTAAGATTATTTTCTGAGTATTTATTTATTAAAAACTGTAACTGTATATATATATACTATAAGTATTTAACTGGCATATGAGTTATAATAGAAATATTAGACATAATTCAAATAAACACTGGAAACTGAATAGTAAAATGTGTTCTGACATAAGAGAAAACCAAAATAAGCCTTTGATATTAAAAATGTTTGTGATTTGGTTTGACACAATACTGCATACTTAAATACCTTCATTCAAAATAAAAAGATGTTGAAAGAAATGGACAGGAAAGATAAAAGACCTGCTCTGTAACTTACAATTAATAATGTGCTATTTAGATAAATTTAAGAAAAATTTTAATCTAGTTCTGGAAATATTAAATCATTTCACCTCAATATTATTACAAGATAAAGTAGAAGTCATATCTCAAAAATTAAATGAAATAATACAAAAATTTTGCCTTAACTTACAATTACCTGCTGGTCAGAAGAAATAGATTCTAAGGCCTTCTGAATAACACGGCAGCCATACATCTGCAGGGCCAGGGGCAGAACATGACCACGAATACGAGTAGCCAAGGCTAATTTTTGATCCAAACTCCCAAACTAACAGAAAAGAGAAGGGTCATAAAATCACTTTGTTGAACTTGAGTAAGACACTACATCCTACTGAATCTATGTGTACAATATCCCATCTGGCAATTATGCAGGGAGTAAGCATTAAGACAGATCCAGAGTTGATTACGATAATATTAATACTTTCCCCATGATTCATTATCTTGACATTATTAATCATTTTTATTTATTTGAAAGACAGCAAGTAAGCAAGAGACAAAGGAATCCTCCAGTTGCTTGTTTATTCCCCAAATGTCTGTTAACAGCTGTGGCTGGCCCAGGCTGAGGCCAAAAGCCTGGAGTGCAATCTGTTTCCCAGCAACATGACAAGGTCCTGATCACCTCAGTCATTATCTGCTGCCCCCTAGAGTGTGCATGAGCAGGAATTCAGCATTACAAGACCCCAACACAGGCATTCCGACTTGGGATGAAGCAGCCCCAAGTGATACCTTAACCACCACACCAAATGCCATCTCCCCTTAAAGTAAACATCTTTGCTAGTTATTTCTAACAAAACCATTTATCTTTATCACACATTAACTTCTAAGACATACACTCAGACTACTAAACTCCTTTGACCCAGGTAATTCTCAAACTATACTTAGATACAACTGAAGAGCCTGTTTAGTCAGGCTAAAACATAAACATATTTACAGACTAAAAACTACCTCAACAGCTAACTTATAAATAAAACAATTTCTAGGCAGAACACTCTTAACTTGTTTGTTATTAGTACGTTATTTCTTTCTACAACCAAATAATTATTCTATCACTAAGTGTATATATCCATCCCATACTGAGGGACACTCGGTTATTTCTACTGTTTAGGCTATTTTGAGAAAGCGTGCAACAGTGAGTGGTGCTTCAGTTTTTAAAGTTTAAAGTTCTTTCGGTTCTACGTCTGAAGTGTGTGACTACAAAATTGGTTCTGCAGTGGACACACCATTTCCGTAGCAATCTGTGTGGCTTTTAATTTTTTTCTACATACTCACATCTGTTACTTCCCAAACTTTACAGTCTTGCAGGTGTAGAGTGGTATCTCCCTGTGGTCTGGCTTTGTGTTTCCTTCATGACTAAGAAGGCTGGGCATCTTTTTCTGGATTACTGTATTCTGTTTGATGAATGTCTACCTAATACGCCCTCTTCAGTCGGGTTGTCCTCATATTGCTGACTCCTTAGTGAGTTCTTTAAATACTCTGGATATAAAAAACTTAGCAGATATGTGACATGCAAATGTTCTCATCCAGGCTTATTTATATTTTTATGGGAAAATGACTGTTACCCAATTTTCAGGATTTCTTAACAATGTATACGTAACCAGACACATATCCAAAAATCCATGCTTACCTCAAAAAATTTCTGTATAACATAGTTGCCAAAAACATCTGTCATTAATTGATATGCTGCCTGTAGAATTTCATTAAATACCATTTGTCGCTCAGCTGGAGTAGCTCTCTCTAGTTTTTGCTGTATAAACCTAGATGGGAAAAAAAATTAGAGGCCATAACATAACCTGCAAACAAGATCTGCAAAAAATGCATTTTTTGCTTAAGAAATATCATCCTCATGTATATACACAAAATAATTCCAGAAATATGAATTAGGTATCTAATTTGTAGCATAAAGGACAAGTTATATGAAGCATTTGCTTCTAACAACTTAAACCAACTACTAGCTAGATGGACAAAAAAGTAAAAACCTGGACATAAAAATGTTTACTTAAACTAGTTGTGCTATATTATACTGAATAAAAAAAGAAAATTACAAGGATTTTGCTGGCTAATCATCTGTTTTTATAACATACAGTGTTTCTGAATGTTTATAGAACTTCAGAAATCTCTAGAAATAAAATTCAAACAAATGAATCATTAACCTTGCCATTTTAAGTGATGCAAGGTTTATTTAAGAACTTTCAATAAAAAGAAAATAAAATTTGGATACAACTACTTAATGTAAAACTTTAAGGAAAAAACACTCAAATTTAATAAATTCTATCGCCTTTCAAAGACCAGGCTTTGGAGTACTCATCCTATTTTACACACAAGTTGAAAAATGCGAATGCAGTTAAGTTAAATCCAATCAAGAAAAAGACAGCTTTTTTAAAAAAAGGAATACGAAGAAGAATATAGCATGAACCATAACTACCTAGAACCATGCTGGTCTTGTGAAAACTCAACGATATGGCCAATCAAGTCTCTAAGTTGAAGGTTAGGGAAGCGGTTGTTCCGGAAATCTTCCAGCAATCTGCTGCGACCCGAAGGCATGATGTCAGACCTGTTATACCGGAGCCGAGAAGCAGGAAACAGCTGGCTGCTGGAGCTGAAGAGACTAGAAGTGCTTGAAGCACTTCGGTATTTTGCTTCTGCCCCAGGTGCTGCAGAGATATATCGACCACTACCATTGGTCAGTCCTCCTATAATAAAGCAGCTTGGTTAGCAGCGCTTCTCACAGTCATTCCTCAATTAAAGTGCCTTACACTGTAAACTTCATAAAGAAATATTCTCTCTAGGATTTTGTTTGTTATGACAGGAAATTAAAACTGGAAAGGAAAATCTTGCACCTACATATAACACGTAGCTTTATGAAAAATCAGACTAGGGAAACTTAAGAAAAATTTATCTGTATTTTTTCAGCTCAGCTTAAAATGCAATTATGATACATTCATAGTAATACCAGAATACTAAAACCACCAACAAACTCTTAGTTCCATTTATAAGCAAGTAATTAAATAGCTAGCAAACTAATCCCCTGATATGATCTGACTATCATCTGCACTGTTAATGGCACATCACTGAGTATTAAATTAATAATTTTGGGAGATATATTAAAATTACATTAAATCATAATACTTCTACATAGAAATAAACCATTTCTTTGTTAATGCATTGATTTGTGTCTACATTTTTAAAAATTCACATTTTGATACAATAAATGTAGGTAATACACTATTTCAAAAAACTTGCCATAAAGTATTATTATGTTGCAGACAAGAAACAGAAATAAATAGCAGTTACTATTTTTACAGTCTTAATTATTTAAGACAAAGTCTTTCTAATTTATGTCTCACTCCAACAAGAAAATTAAGAGGCAATACTAGAAACAAAAAAAGTGCATGCAGAAAAAATCATTTTTATTACAAATATTATTTAAGTACTTGACAGTGTCCTTTTAAAAAAGAAAAATGTACAAACAATTATAAAATACAGATTTAACAGCTCAGCAAAACAAGAGCTACCATTAACTTCATATTATTAATTACCAACTCTATATAGCACAGTGCTACCAAAACAATCTAGGCCCTAAGATGGAGATGATCCCAAGGACACACTGTCAGCGCAAAGTAACACAGGGGCACCAAAGGCCAAAAAGAATGACAACAACAGGAAGTAAAGAATTTTAACCCTCGAGGGTGAATGGGCTCAGTGCACTCCTCTTTATGCTATTATTCCAGCTTCATTTTTCCCTCATTGAATTTTTCACTCTACATAATATGCATTTATTTGAATCCTCAATCCTTTCTAAAATTTACATGCCATCAAATCACATAGAGAAACGTGCTATCTTATCAGGGGTCTAGACCAATGCTGATGTTGAGCAGGTGCAAAGTACTTAAAAATGACAACCAGAGGCCATGAATATTTTACCTAGATTCAGTTTTAGATTATCTTGTTTAAAAAAAGGATGTCTTCTATACAGCAAAATCAGTAACATCAAAATCTTGGTTCCACTTCTGTTACTTATCTTAGCGTTGATGCACGAAATACTCAAAATGTCAGCCCTGTTTTAATTCTACTGTCAACGGCAATCCTTTCAACCCCCAGCAGTGTTTTGTTGTTTCATAGATGATTTACAACAACTCCTTGCCCATTAGACTCTAATGGTACAATATGGATGACTTCTACAACTACCATTTACCAACTACTAAGAACTGGGCATCTCAGCATATCTCGCTTTGCCACTGGATTTTTTTCTAGTAATTTGCTTTCTGTGGGGTGAGTTTGTTTATTCTTCCCATTTCTTTTTATGCATATTATCACCTATAGCTTTTACAAGTTCTTTGGCTATCACTTTATGGTAAAAACCTTCTAGAGTAGCATCCTCCTAGAGAACACTCTCCAATGTCTTTATGTCATCATTTCAGATGCACGTCTCATGCAAATTCCTTACAGTGTTAACTGCTTTTCCCTACTTTTTATTATCTCTGTACCATTGCTTATCCATGCTTCAAACTTTAGGCTTAACTTGAACCTCACAAAACTTTCAACAAATTCAATACACACTTCTCCCATGAAATGACCAAACTAACTCTATATGCTATTTTCCTAGCACCTTACCAAATATTCAACAAAAATTTCTCCCACAACTATGTGCTCCCTTGATTCTAGTCTACTTAACTTCTACTACACTCCTAAATCATCTATTGAAAACTGACAATGCTGAAATCTTTTTAATTCATACATCTTCATACATACAAAAGGGTTAAGTATTCTGTTTCTAAAACTAAAAGCAATTTTACTTAAGACAGAGTAGCTTTTTCCCCTTACAAATCAATTAAATGGGCATTGAAACTCCACATACATCATGCCTGCATTCTTCCCAAATATCTGTGATGCATCCAATATGGGATGCTTAACTGGATAATGGGTTCCATATCAACCAGCTCCTCCCTACACTACAGTCCCTTATCTGCAGAAAAGGTGCAACACAACTGGCAATGTTTGAATAAAGTGGACTGATTTAAAAATAGTATTATACTGGCATTGATTTATGACAATTGTGGTTATATGAAATATCCTTTCATTTTCAGGAAACACACACTCATGTATATATGAATAAATTTCATAACACCAAGAGTATCAGAAAAGAATGTGTGTGTAGTAAGGGAGAAAGACAATGTTAAACAAATGTGGTAAAATTAAAGCATTTGGACAATCTGGGTGAAGGGCAATCTGAGGAAAACAAACAAACAAACTACTATTCGGCATTTTTTTCTATAAGCCTGCAGAAATCCCAAAATTAAAAACACACAAATAGTTCATCCATATTGATGCTTCCACTGTTGGTACTATAACCAAACATGTTCAAAGACAGTTAACAGTTCCTTCTAGTTCAGAATTTGGACCCCAAAGCCATTCATCATTTCTTAAGCACTACAGAACCACGTGAGATAAAGGTCCAAAAGGGAAGCCACATGAAGCTAACCAGAAACCAAGAGTCTCAGGGCAGACTTTATCACAAAACACTGTGCTGTCTTTTCAATGCTTTTCTGCGGCATTTTAAAATTCAGACATGACAACTTAATAAAAGCAAACATATTTTTCCAGAAATAATATTTTCTTTACAAATTGTCACTAATTTGAGAAAACTATTATTTCAGAATCCTTCTCTATTAGCTATTCTAAGTTAAAGTGTTCTTTAAAAATATTTAGGCAAACGTAATGGAGAAAGGTATTTGGCAATGGAGATCAACACAAAACAAATCCGACTGTTGTTATTTTTATTATTTTCCACCCCCTGGTGTTTGGAACAGCCGCTCCTTGATCTATCAGGTAGGTATAGTCTTTTTAAAAAACGCAGATTTCTGAATTACTCTCTGAACAGTTTTTATTTCAAAATATTTACCTGAATGCTATTCTAAGGCTAGGAACTAAGACACTGACATAAGAATCAGGATTGGGCCCGGCAGCGTGGCCTAGCTGCTAAAGTCCTCGCCTTGAAAACACTGGGATCCCATATGGGCGCCGGTTCTAATCCCGGCAGTTCCACTTTCCATCCAGCTTGTGGCCTGGGAAAGCAGTCAAGGTCAGCTCAAAACCTTGGAACTCTGCACCCGTGTGGGAGACCTGGAGGAAGTTCCTGGCTCCTGACTCTGGATCAGCGCAGCAGCAGCCATTGCAGTCACTCGGGGAGTGAACCATTGGATGGAAGATCTTCCTCTCTGTCTCTCCTCCTCTCTATATATCTGACTTTGTAATAAAAATAATAAATAAATGTTTTTAAAAAAATCAGGATTAAAAAGGTCTTCATTTTATAAAATAACAATGACACAGGCCAAGTAGCAGGGAAAAGTTTAAAATGAGGACAGGGTATTTTATAACATTATCTTTAGTTACTTCTAGCCACAAAAAGGCCTAAGTGGTATTTGTACCTTGTATGTTTTTTATTCCCTGCCACTGATCACTTTTCATGAGAATCATTCGGAACTCAGAGTAGACTGCTCACAGTCTGGCTTTGTTACTACAGTCATCTGCCTGTTACTGTGCTTTGGAGGAAGATTTGAAAATTGACAAAGACTTCCTGAGCAGTACTTTATTATGCACACGAGCCATTTGGGGAATTTGCTATACTTCAGGCTGATGCCGAATGCTAGCTTTGAGAAGTCTATGGCACACAGCAATTACTGTGTGGCAAAACTGGTAACATCTGTATCTGTGCCCTAACCTAACCCAATCTACTACATACACACTAAGATGACTTTGTTACTTTGTGATATACAGTAACTTTATAGAACACTGTATCACATTCTGATAGGCAAATTCTTCATAAAATATGGTACTGTCTTCAGCTGCATCCTCCAAAGTCACTTACAAATAGTTTTATGCACTTGTGAGAGTTTCTATCCTCAATATACATACTAAACTAACTGAGCTACCGCTGGCTGAGTTACAGCATCAGAGTATCTCTTGGTATACCTGTGAACGCATTACTTGAAAATACTATCTTTGCAACACAACCGAGTTAAAACCAGAACGGGCTCCAATTCAATGCCTAGTGTCCTTTTAAAAAGAGAAAACGTGGACACAGAAACACACAGGCAACACCATGTGATCATGGACACTGAGACTCAGAAGGATGAGTTTTTAAGCCAAGGAGCAGTAAGAATTGTCAGCAATCGCTAGTAGCTGGGAAGAGGCACACAGGAACTGTGCTCTAGAGCCTTCACAACATGGCACTGCCTACAGCCGATTTCAGGCTAGAGCTTCCAAACTGGGAAAGAAGTCTATTGTTTCAAGCCACCATATACTGATTTGTCACAGTAACCTCAGAAAACTGACACAACTGTCATGCTTTCTAAAAGCATGAAATATTTATCATGATATGTTTAAACACACAGTACATGTACACAAATGGTAAATGAAGGACAGTGAGACAAAATATTACAATTCATTAAAGTGTAAGGAAGATAATACAAAAACGAATCAAAGGTTGTTGTTCATAAGAATGCTAGTTTTTGTACATATTCACTGCACTGAAAACAGAACTCTCTGCTCTTCTAAACCGGCCAGTATGTGTATTACTACTATACTACAGTGCTGCTCTCAAGAGTGCTACCACCTTGGTAACTCTTCAGACATACGTTGCCATTATACTTGTGATTCAAGAGGACCAGAGAAGCTAAATAACTTCATTCAA